CGTGAAAACTCATTCTCACTAAAACCACTCATGGTTCCTTGGAGACAGGTCAGGTTCCAGATCTGGAACAGCACATGGGTAAAAGGAACCTAAAGCATCTTGCCACCCTTGTCAGCTACACCACTGTGTCAAGGCAATTTGGCTCAGGCTCCAGAGCCAAACTGAGGAGCCTCTCCCTGCAAAATTAGGACAGTCATCCATATTGGGCAAATTGAACTGCATCAGATAGGTTGGAATCCATGAATGCAAAATGATTTTTTTGCACTAAGGGTTAAGCCCAGGGTCTTGTGCCTGTGAGGCAAGTACTCTACCACTCAAAATGGTATTTCCAGAAAGAAGATGAATTGATTATCATTGGAGGAAGCTAGCAAATAACTCACCCAAGAAAAAGAGTTTTACGGTGGGAACAAACATTTATCTGGCATTTTTATTTGAAGTCTACCATCGGGTGACTGAAGAGACTAGTGGAAGTTTGCTTTTGTATAAGAATTCCAGCTAGTACATGAAGAAGGAATGAAAGCATTGCACCATCAGTGTGTGCAGCTCCTACGGGATGGATCTCTGGTGCAGGCAGTGATCCTGAGTGGTTGCTGTCATCACAGAGGTGGTCAGATCCTGGGTCTCACCTCATAGGGACAGCACATAGACTTGTCCAAACTTGAACCTGAGTTTTACCAAGTGTTTGTATCAAATCACTAGTTTACAGGAAGTCAGAGGCTGCAGAACACAACAGGAACAATCGGTCATAAAATCCAGGGAGTAGAAAACTCTAGAAGAAAAAGGATCAGGTTTTTCAACAGCAGAAATGGGAAGGAGGAGGAGAAGGAGGGAAAGTTTATGGATTAAAGAAGACATGTCAGGGCCGGGGATTTAGCTCAGTGGTTCCGCTGCCTGCCTTGCGCGTGCAAGGTCCTGAATTCGCTCCCTGGTACCAAAAAAACCAAACAAACAAAGAAGACATTCCAGTCACTTACAATGTGTGGGTCTCTTCTGAATCCTGGTTCAAACAAGTGGAGGAACAAAGATCACATGAATTTATAATATTTGAATTCATTGAAAATTTGCCCACTATCTGGATATTAATATTAATTGAATTGAATTGGTACTTTCTTGTGGTTATGGATTTTTTGTTTTTGTTTTTGTTTTTCTGGTACCGGGGATTGAACTCAAGGCCTTGCGCTTACAATGCAGGCGGCGGAACCACTGATCTAAATCCCAGGCTCTTGTGGTTATGTTTTTAACAATCTCTTGGAGATATACTGACATATCTATTGATTAAATCGTTTCTTTTTAAATTTCTGTGTTTATAAGTACATGTTTGCAGTACCTAATGATTACATTCATCACGGGGAGTTGGAACATACACAAAACACATCTTGAGGTCTGGGATTTGTCTAAAGTAATGTGGGAGGAGAAAGTGGTTGGAGCTATAGAAGAAATAAGGGCTAAAAGTTAATACTTTCCATACCTGAGTAATTGTCCATTAGTATTTATCATATTCTTCTGTCTACTTCTCCACTGGGGAACAAAGATTTCTAAAATATATACCATTGCTTCATTCTGTCCTGTCCTTGTCAGTCTAAAACTCACTGAATGACATGTATGACTTTCAGAGCCCACTTGCTCTTCTGAACTAAGCTACCCAGTGCGCACCCTGCCCTGAGAACCAGCGTGGAGCCCAGTCATGGCCCCTGGGTCAGCAGATGTGCTCCCGCCCCATGGCACTTCATCTGTGCCCCTCCGTGCCTGGCTCTAGGTGGCAAGTCCAGAGCATCACACCTTTGCTTCCTCACAATGCCAGGGTGCGAGGACAGCAGCTTTACCAAGTGGCCCTGTCACCTGCAGTCCCCAAGCCAGATGTTCCTATTGTTGCTTTTGTTTGTTTTTCAGGCCATTCTTTTTGTGATGTTTTGGTTGCAGGCCCAGATTTTTCTTGGCCTTCCTCTACCCACACAAGTGAATGGCCTCTCTTCTCACTCTGCCTGCCTCACTGTCTCTGCCCCGCTTCTCCCTCAGGGATTTTGAGGTTGAGTTTCCTAGAGTAATTGCTTTATTGCAGCCGAAATACCCCCAGGCCCATGTTCATGTCTAGCTTGGGCCATGAGGGTTAAATGCAGTAATAGAGGTGAACATGCTTTGAAAATGATAATTTGCTCTGTGCCCATGAATGGTTGGCAAAGCCAAACTTCCAGGACACGTGCCCCTTCATGGAAAATCTCTCAGCTTTTCTCCAAACTATGAGAATGCCCTGGGAGGTGCATCTCAGTGATGTACATCCACAGAGCTTTGCCTGAGGTCACATGGACAGACGGAGCAGATTCCTGCAAAGAAGCTGCTGATGTCTGTCCAGTTGATCCCACAGAGAGTCTGTCACCTGTGAGCTCTGCACCACCCTGGGCTTCTCACCGAGCAAGACAAGGTTAAAGCGTGCACGTCCCCTTTTCCTATTTTATCCCTCACGGTGGGGATGGCACGTGGTACATGGTACATGGGTGGCACAGTGAAGATGCTCAGTGCCAGAAAACACATCCGTGTGATGACTCTAAATCTGTTAATAGTAGTCAGAATGGTGTAAGTTCTTTTGGTTTCATTTCATTGTATCCTTACTGCCCTTTTGGAAGCCAAGGTTGTTCTCACCCTCGTTGTTCAGATGAAAACGCTGATACTTTGTTCATCAGGATGTGTTTACACTCACCTTTTTAAAATGTGGCACTAAAACGCCAAATCTTTGATTCCTTTGCACATCTGTGTTTTGCGTCCGTGGCCTCCCCTGCCCTTCATCCAGACCCTGCGGTGTGTCGGGCATTGCCAAGTCTGGAGAAGAGAAAGGAGAGAGTAGATTCCACCTCAAGGCTCTGACCTCTTCATTAGGAGAGATGTCACGCTCCAGGAGTTGGCCGCTCTGCCCACTGCCCTTGGCTGGAGAGTGACCTCCAGGCGCCGCTCCTCGCCTGCTCTTCCTCTGTTGGCCACCAGGGGTCAGAACACAGACCTCCACCCTTAAGCGCCATGTCAGTGTCTGCCTACCCCATCCCAACAGCACCCTGGCCCCAGTTACAGCATCTGCAGATGATGGGCTGCAGTCAAGATTTATTTGGGCTCCACCCAAACAGGCGTTGAAGAGCAATAGATCCTGAGGCCATTTTTGTCCTTCTCCTACTAAGTCTCTGTCCTGCAATTCTGCCTTCCCCATTTAGACCAATTCCGGCACTGAGTGGTCTCGCAGTGCAGTAGTCAGCCTCAGAGCCCTGCATCTGAGGGTGCATCTGCCTTTCTCTGCTCAAACTCCTGGGGGAGCCCTAAGGGTTCCTTCGTTCCCACAGAGTCCCCACAAAGAAGGCCTAAGCAGAATAGCTGCTCAGCAAACAGCTGGTTACTTGGGTGGTGAGTGAAAGCAACCACACAGGAACAGGGAAGACAATGGTGCTGAAGGCACATCCAGCACACACCCGCCCTGAGTCCAAGCCTCAGCCGGTGACAGGCCCCTGCCTTCTGCCATGTGCAGCCTGATGCTCACTGGAGCCTTGCAAAGGGAGGGTGACCTAAGTGTCCCTATTGAGAATTAAGCGATAGTTCATGTTTATTGCACGTGTACTCTGGGCCTTGCATTTGGGCACTGATTCCTTACAATCCCATACTAATGACAAGGTACTGTTATTATTCTTTTTCTACCAATTGGGAAACTGAGGCACAGGGGTGAAGTAGCATGCCTAAGGTCACACGGACAGTAAGAGGTAGAGCCATTCCAGCTGCAGCGGACTGATTCAAAGACCCCACTTCCCGTGTCCACATGGGGAGCCTCTCCTGAGCCAAGTCACAGGGAGAAGAGCTGGACACCCTGCGCTCCCAGGGCAGGTGTTGAGAACCTCAGCGATGTCCTGTCAGGGTGCCAGGATGCACAGCAAGTTCAGGAAAGCAGAGCTGGGGCATGGCCAGGGCTCACACCATGAGAGACAGGCACATGGGTCAGAAGGGACAGCAGTGCCCTTTGGCGAGGTGGCTCAGGGCAGCAGGGTGAGTGAGGCTGGTGCGGTTGGGATCCGGGGCTCAGGGACCCAGCTCCTTCTGTGTCTCAGTGTCGTGGTGTGGCAGCACATGTAAGAATTCAGTCTTAAGCAGATGTGCACCATAGCTTCTTGCTACCCAAAAACACGCGTATGGAGCCCACCCTTCACTCTGTCCAAGTTACCTCAAGGAAAAGACTCAGAGGAGGAGGTGCGAGCAGAAATCTCCACTCCCTCTGTGGTGAACACTCATGAGCTTCACAGCGTGGCAACTCAGTGGGAGTACAAGGGTGCTGAGGTCTCACGGTTCCCATCTGTGGTCCCTGGGTGGACGAGTGGATAGGAGCCAGGTAGGCAACACACATCACTCAGCCTTCAAAGGAAACACACTGTGACACACGCTGCATCATGCATGACCTTGAGGACAGGACACTCAGTGAAACAAGGCAGTCATAAAAGACTCATCCGGACTGCGCGATTCTGTCCATGTGAGGTACTGAGAGTACAGCGTGGCCAGGGACTAAGGGCAAAGGGGAAGGGAGGCTCTGTGTCTAACAGGCATGGGCTTCAGGGTGGGAAGAGGGAGGCATTCTGAGACGGGCGGCGGTGATGGCTGCAGAGCAGTGTGAATGCACTCACTGCTGCTGGACCGTGTACTAAAAGCCGTTCAGCGATAAAGTCCTGCTTATGCCTGCTTTGGCGCAGAAGCGCGGACCAGATGCGTTGGGGAAGCGTTTCCTAGACAGGTTTAAAACTCCTCATGTTGTGAAAGAGGCGCTCATGGACCCAGAAGAGCTCGCCTAAAGGAGGACAACTGAGGCCTCCCCGCTTTGCCAGGCCCCACAGTGGGTGCTGGTGGCCACTGGCCAGCAAGTGCCTGTGTTCCCGGAGTCAGTAGCTGGCCCTACCCAGCTGGGCCTCCCGTGACAGGAAGCGAAGTCACCTCATTCCCAGGTAAGGAGAGTAACGTGCCCTGTCCTCTGATTTGTCCCCTAGGTGGCAGTGACAGAAGAAGAGACTCTGGCCCTGGCCGAGGCCCTGGTACATGGAGAGAAGGAAGGAGGCAATTTCTTAATTGGTGCCATACACACCAGGTCAAAAAATTTTCTTAATTTTTAGAAAACTAGGAGCATGTGGGGCCCAGACGGGCCCAGAGGGGAAGCACCACATCCCAGCAAGTCCTGCTAAGCTGATGTGCCCGGCCCCACAGAAATATCCCCGAGCCAAGCTTCCCCAGTCACTAGGGAGGAAGTAGGAAGGACCAGGAGCAGCGGATTTGCACCCACCCTGCTGGGTGTGCATTTAATTATATGCTTGCTGAATAAAATTCTCCACCATCTGCCCTGCGGCCAGCAAACTTTCTGTAAAGGGCCAAATAGTAACTATTTGGGGCTTTGCAGCCCTACAGTATCTATTTTAACTATCCAGCTCATCCATATACGAAGGCAGCCATAGACATTATGTAAATGAATGAGTGTGGCTGTATTCAATAAAACTTTACTTATAAAAGCAGCAGTGCACTGCATTTGGCCACAGCCACAGAGCTGACCCCTTATCAACACAACCCGGTGGGTTTGCACTTTACCAGCCAGGACTGAGACCCGCAGCAGCCCCCAGACTGCTTGACCAGCGTGAGTCCCTCTCCTGTATGATGCACTGGTCACCCTTGCCTCATGCTGTCTGAGGTCCACTGTACCCACAGACTGGGGTCATTCTACTTAGGAGTCTGTCTTCCTTATGGACTTCGTTGGATGATTGCTGTGAATAGGACCATTCTTAGAGAGATAGCCGATGTGGGAGCTGCCACCTTAGGCAAGTTCAGTGTTCCAGTCAACGACAGACAAACGCAGAGTGTTGCCTGTAGGCAGGTGTGCTATAGGCTCAGTGGAGTGGGTGGGGCAGATGGATAAAGGTGTTGCTGGATTAGTGGGCGGCACGGCTACGCTGTGGAAGTGTTACCTGTCTCTGGGACTCAGAAAAGGATAAGAAACCTAGCTACCCCGAGTTAATCTCTCTGCATGTCCTAGGTGTTTGATTTCTTTAAATCTGACTTTTATTTCCCTTACCAGTTGTCGCTGAAGTTGATAGAATGTTAAGACTCAAGCACTGAAGTTAGTGGTGACCCCTAGCCTTGGTCCATTAAGACCACTCTAACAAGCAAGAGGCTTAAAAGCAGCATCAGTTCATTTCTCCTGTTCTGGAGGCTAGAAAGCCCAAGACCGAGGCAGCGGCCCATTTGCCACCTGGTCAGTCCTCTTCCTGTGCAGAATTGGTGCTTTCCTTGGTGTCCTCCCTGGCGGGAGGTACAGCCTCTTTCGTAAGGCAGTGATGCCGTTGTGAGGCCTCCACCTCATGACACAGCCACCTCCAAGCTCCACCTTCTGGGATCATCACCTGCAGGCTGGGGCTCAGCACATGAGTGTCAGGAAACCAAACATCGGGACCATAGCACCCCCATCCCATATGGCATGCGCAGAGGAATGGTGCTTCAGCTTGGCTCCTGGGATATCAGGCCTTACGTGAAGGCCAAGGCAGTTGTCCCAGACCAGTTCAGCCCTGTCCCCCAGCCGGGGGCAGCAGCGCTGCTGTCCCCAAGTGCCCACCGTGTGGTGAGACGCTCTTCTCCGTTTCCCCACAGATGGATGGTTTCTAGCCTGCTTCCACACCCCACCTCGGCTGAGTGCTGGGCAGCACTTCTACATGAGCCTATGACGCTTGATATGGACGCAGTCCTGTCAGACTTTGTTCGGTCCACGGGGGCAGAACCTGGTCTGGCCAGAGACCTGCTGGAAGGTAAGCTGACCTCCTCGTCCCCAGCCCGCTCTGGGCTCTGGACGCTGTCCAGCCAGCGACAGGAGATAAGCAGATTCCTGTTCCCCGACAAAGGTGTCGCTTGGACAATATTTAGCCTTTCTCAGTGCAAAGCATGGACATAGGGGATGAAATTAAATTATTTTTGTTATTACTGTCTTTATTTTGGACATGTGATAGATCGATTCTACAGTAAAAATCCATATGGCACAAAGGAGATTTTGCCTCATTAATTCTTATCAATATTGAGTCAAAATTTATCAATTATCATTTTTAAAGAAAATATATCCAGTAGAGTAGAAATTCTAGGACATTCAAGAGAATACTTTTATTGGAGTCCTTGGCTTCTTATCTCTGTCTCAGCTGACACAAAAATGTTTAGGCCAATGTTACTGGTAAAAAGCCACCTGGTAGCCAGGAGAGTAGTTGGAAATAATTCACAAGCAAGAAATCAAAATGTATCTTCTGTCTACAATCTTTTCACATGGATAGGTCATTTGAGGGTAACCCATACATATGATATTTTCAGGTATTTAGCTAGAATCAAAGACTAAAAATTAAACTCCAGTTTCTATCTCTATGATGGATTTACATTGTGTAGTTTTAATTTTTTTAAATTGGTGCTGATGGTGGTGGAATGAAGGAAAGGAGAAGAACCAGCTAACAAGTCAGATGTGTGAGAGGAGAGAATTGCTTTCATGTTCACTGTTTGCTTCAGATGTGTAAACTGCAGTTTGTAGAGTTTATAAACACCGAGTCAAGTATCATAAGCCACACCAGGTCTTGAAGTTAGAGTTAGAGAGAAATAGAGATCACTAGACATTTTTAGAAATGGAGATGCCATTTGTCACTATTGAAAATTAAGGGTCACCTACTGGAAGATCGAGAAGATGGCAACAGCAGAGTGGTTTAAATCTCCTTCAACCTTTTATAATTTTCTATAAACTTGGGGTTTAGATTAGAATAAGCTTAGGAAGGTTGTGGTATGTGCGAATCGAAATTCAGTCCTCAGTGCCCACTCTGTGCGGGGGAGCCTTCTCCTGCTGGCTTCCACGGCTTGTGAACCCAAGCGAGAGCTGCGTGGAGAAGCAGGTGTGGAGGGAGGTGGGCAGGGAGCCCAAGGCCAGACTCAGCCGCTTGTCAGCTGTGAGATGGGAGCAAATGAGCTTCAGCTCTTTCTCCCTATATGCTGACCTAATTCACCGTGCAGAATGAGTGTGCATGTTCTACCCCGTGATATAAAGTGTCTGGGAGAGTGGGCGACAGGCAGCAGATCCGTTCGCAGGACGCAGGGGCCAGGTCCTGCCTGCTGCTGCGGAGCGGTCACTGGTGTCCACCTTGCCAGGCTCGAGACAGCCTGCAACAAGATGCAAATGTTACCCCTTTTCAGTTTTCCTTTCCTTTGTAAATGAAGATAAATTAAAAACTAACGTTTTGTGTGCCCTTCAGTGGGTTTTAACGCCTGCATGGATTTGTGTGGTTGGCATTACTGGGGTGCAGGACCCCTCCACCACCTCCCGGACTCCATCCCCCCGATCTGTGCTCACCAGCATCCACTGCTCTTAATCTGCCATGCGCTCAGGAATATCACATAAGTGAAGTCATTCAGAGCCTTGTCTTTTAAAACGAGCATCTTTCACCGAATGCAACTCCCGTGAGATGTTTCCACATGGCCTCTCAGTGGTTGGTTTCTTTTTATTTCTGAGGTATGGTCCATCCTAGACAAGGACCATGGTTTGTTTATCCATTTATCTGTAGAAGGCCATTTCAGTTATTTTCAACTTGGGGTCGTTATGGCTAGAGTGTTAGGATTTAAGAAGAGGGTTTTTGTGAATATAGAGCTAATTTTTCTGGGATGAATGCATATGGATGAGAACACTGATGCATCCAGGATCTGTGTGTTTGCCTGTGTAAGACGCCACCAAACTGTTCCAGAGCCACTGCAATGACTGGCATTCCCAACAGCAATGTGTGAGAGGTCTTTGCTCCACATCCTCACCAGCACTTGGTATTTGTTTCTGTTTGTATTATAGCCATTTTAATAGGTATATAATAACGTTTCTTTGTGGCTATAATTTTCTTTTCCCTAAGGACTAATGGTGTTGAAGTTTTCTCGTGTTATTGTTGCCATCTGCGAGTTCTGTCTTGTGAAACGTCTGTCCAAATTTTTTGCCCATTTATACATTGGTTTCCTGTACTTGTGTTTTGAGAGTTCTTTCTATATACTGAATATAAATCCTTTGTCAAATATATGATTTGCAAATATTTTCTCCTAGTATATGCTCGACTTTTCATTCTTTTAACAGTCCCTTTTGCAGAGCAGAAGGTTTTAATTATTAGGCACTCCAACTTGCTGGTGTTCATTTTCATGTCTGAAAACCTTTTTGTGATACCTCAAAGAACTAGGACTAGAGGTCCCATATGACCCAGCTATTCCCCTGCTGGGGATCTTCCCCAAAGAATTAAAAGAATCATACCACAGTGACATATGTGCACCCATGTTCATAGCGGCACAGTTTGTAATAGCTAAAGCTTGGAAGCAGCCCAAGTGCCCATCAACTGGAAACTGGATAAAGAAAATGTGGTTTTTTTTAATAAGATGGAGTACTGCTCAGCCATAAAGAATGAAAAACTAGAGTCATTTATAGCTAAATGGATGCATATCGAGGCCATACTCTTAAGTGAAATAAATAGGACACACATGTGTAAATGGTGAATAGTTTCACTAGTGTGAGAGACTGATAGTGTAAACAAGGGTTAAAATGATTAAAATGAATAATTGATAATTTGAAATAGTAAAAAAGGTCCAAAGATGAAGGAATGAAGGGAGGGGAAGGGGAAAGGAAAAGAGGGAAAGGAAAATCTATGAGAAAAGAAAAAAAAATTGAAATGAAATCTATGTAAATAGGTAAGGGCGGAGGGGGTGAAAGGTGCACAGGTAATGGAGAAAAAAATAAGAACCAAGATACATCATGTACAGGTACAAACACCCAATGATAAATGTAAACAAACTGTATACCTAAAATGTACCAATAAAATTTTTTTAAAAAAAAAAACCTTTTTGTAACTCCAGTTCATAAAGATATTCTTCTATTATGTTGTTTTGAAAGTATCATACTTTTATGTTTCATAGTTAGATCTATGACCCCATGTGAATTGATTTTTATATAATATGTGAGATATAGGTTAAGGTCCATTTTTATGTATATGGATATCCAATAATTCCATAACCATTTTTAAAAAATATTATCCTTTCTCCATTGAATATGAATTGCCTTTTGCACATTTGTCAAAAACCAACTGACTGAATTTGAGGGAATCTATTTCTTGACACCAGCTCTGTTCCATTGATCACTATGGCTAATTCTTTACCAATGGTAAACATATTGATTACTGCAGCTTTGTAGTGAGTCTTAAAATTGAGTGGTAGGTGTCTTCTAAATTAATTCTTTTTCAAAGGCATTTCAACTATTTCATTTCCTTTATCTTTCCATATAAATTGTAGGATGACCTTACCTCTGTGAAATGTTCTACTAAGATCTTGGTTGGAATTATGTTAAATCTGTAAGTCAGTCCTATGATATATCAGAATCTATGAAGGACAAATATATTTTCTGTTTATTTTAGCTTTCTTTGAGTTCATCAACATTTTGTAGACTCTAGCATATAGATCCTCTATACGTCTTGCTGGATCTATGTGTTGTTATGGTTTGTGTCTAGATGTCTCCCCACATTTCATGCAGTCATAGGTGGCTTTTTCAAAGGTGGCTGAATCTAGAGTGTGTGATGCTGGGATTAAGGGCGTGTGATTACTAAACCAGTACACTGATTGGTTTGGCACCACCCCATCCCAGTAGTCTGGATAAGATAAAAGGGCCAGAAAGATGCTGTTAAGGTTCCTTTGTTGCTTTTGCTGTGTTCCGCTCCCGTGAACTGTTGCCCCTCTGCCATGTGCCACTCTGCAAACTGTGAGATAAATAAACCCTTCCTCCTTTAACTTAGGGTGTTGGGTATTTTGTCTCAGCAACAAGAATAAAGTAACTAACGTGTGTATTTTGTTTATTGAACAAATAGAATTTTTAGATTTTCAATTTTCAATATTTGATTGCTATTATGTAGAAAAATAACTTATTTTTATTTGTCAGTGTTTCCTGAAACCTTGCTAAAGCTAAACTTAATTATTTGTTCCAGGAGGGCTCTGTGTGTATATTCCTTAGTATTTTCTAAATATATAATAATGCTGTCTCTGAATAGGGACACCTTTAGCTCTTACTCTCCAAAAAGTACCTGTTTTCATTTTTCTCCATGGAAGTAACTGGCTGGGAGTTCCACTGAGAAGCTGAGTAGAAATGGTTACCTTGCTCTCGCTCACAAGGGGAAAGTACTCCGTCTTCACCAGCAAGTAGAATGGGGGCTGCACGCTTGGGTAGACGCTCTTGGTCAGCAGGAAGAAATTCTATTCCTGTTTTACAGTATTCTTCCAAATACATTTCCTGTATCAGTTGATATGACTGAGCGGGTTTTCCTCCTTTAAAACACCAACATTCTAAATTACACCGATCACCTTTGAATAGTAAAGCAAACTTTCAACCGCTGCTTTAAACGTTTTTCTGCTTTACATTTTCTCCTCTCCTGGAAAGAGAATGATACAACAATTTGACCTTCTGGGGCTGTTCTGCAGGTTCTTATGGTCCTGTTTATTTCCTTTTCCAGTATTTTTTCATATATTGTGTTATGTCATTTCTATTGATCTATTTGTAAATTTATCTGCTCTTTCCTCCCATCATCTCTGTTCTGTCATCGAGGCCACCCAGCGAGGTCTTTTTTAAACTTTAGTTGTTAATTTTTAAAATTTCTAGCATTTCTGTTTAGTTCTTCTGCTCCTTTTCTGAGACTTTTACATTGTTTCCTCCCAGTGTACACATTGAGATTTCTCTGGTTGGATTATTTGGTGTGCTTTTTGTTTTTAGGTTTTTTTGTCT